TCCCTGTATACAACTACCCTGTTGTATCCGGGAAATACTGTTTTCTTGACGTCATTCACCTGGCTCTCACAGTCTGATTTCTCCCTCTTCCATGAACATCCTTGAGATTTGGGATTATTTAAATGTCCCATTTAGGCTCCCATTACACGCCATTTGTAATTTGTTATTCCGGGCACAAGTTCTATGTAGTCTGTTATCCTCTTCCTGTTGTGGGTCTCCGTGTTAACGGACATTTGCTGCAAGAAGAATCTTTTGAGAGATCTGCTGAGTCATCAGGAGTCTGTTGAAAGCTATGCTCATTTAGGGTCTGGGGATTGAACTCAGGACCTCTGGAATACCAGCCAGTGTTCTTAACCCCTAAGCCATCTCTCCAGCCCCAGATGGAGCTCTTTTTAAGGGCACAGATCTTTCACTCTGTCACTCTGAATCCGTCCGGTCTCGGCTCCAGCACTAACTGGCTGGCTGAGCTCCGCAGAGCCGCCTGTTCTCCGCTCTATCAGAGGATGGAACTGGAAGTTCCAGCAGCTGTCTGTGGCATACACCCACCTCTCCATGTCACCTTCCTTTCCAGGGGGATTATTATCGTTGTTGTCGTTCTGTGCATATGCTGTGTGGATGTGTGTGCAGAGGCCAGAGGAAGATTTAGGATGTCAGTCTCTCCATTTCAGTCGGGTTGACTGGCGAATAAGCTCCTGGGGTCTACCTGCCTCCCAGTGTTGAGGCTGCAGGCACAGGTAGTACCTTTTCCATGGGTACTGAGGATTTGAACTCAGGTCCTCACACTTGCATGGCGAGTGCTTTTACCTCCCCATTTTGTTTTGTTTGTACTAAAAACAAACAAACACAAAAACAAGAAACCATGAGACAGGGTCTTATGTGTCCCAGGCTGATCTTGAACTTGACAGCCAATCAGGACCTTATACTTCCCCTGCCTCAACCTCCTAGGTGTTGGGATTGCAGGCGTGTGCCACCAGTTTATGCAGTGTTGGGAGTCGAACCCAGGGCTTCATGCATGATAGGTAGGTATTCTACCAACTGAGCCATGCCCCCAGCCCTGAGTAGTGTTTTCAAAAAACTTAAAAGGTATCTAAGCCAGGCTATGGTGGTGCACGCCTTTAACCCCAGAACCAGGGAGGCAGAGGTAGGCGGATGTCTGTGAGTTCGAGGCCAGCCTCGTCTACAGAGTGAGTTTCAGGATGGCCAGAATTAAACAAAACAAAACAAAAACTAAGAAGGATAGATTGCCTCTTCGGGAACCATGTTCAGATGCAGTTGCATTCCCCACCCTGGAGATACACGTTATGTACGCTGTGCCTATCCTAAGATCTCTCCCCTCACTGACTTCTTTGTGGTGCCTAGGATCTTTAGTGTTCTCCCATGTCCCAGTCCTCAGTGCCACACAGACCAGGAATATGCTTCAGAGATGGGGCGGAGCATCTCGGTGGTCACCCGGCCGGGGCTGATTCCAGCTCACACAAACTTCTAATGGGTCCTGGGAATGGTCAGGCAGGCCAGGGGCTCTGTCCAGCTACACAGAGGGTCTCAGTTTGTTCTCTGCCTTCTCCCCTGTTCTCCAGTGAAGCTGAGAGACTTCGAGTCAGCTGTGAACAACTTTGAGAAGGCCCTGGAGAGAGCCAAGCTGGTCCACAACAACGAGGCTCAGCAGGCCATCATCAGTGTGAGCCTTTGTCACCTGCTGGGCTGGGGGAGGTGGCATGGGAGTGGGTGGTTGGGCCCTCAGCTCCCCTCGGCCTTCCCCACTCGTCACAGGACACATGCTGGCCGGGTACTGGTTTTGCCCCCCTCCCACTGTCCATCTGTATAGCAGCCGATCTGAGTGGTTTCTTCTCCTCCTTTTTCTATTTTTCCCTGTGTGTGTATGCATGTGTGCATGTGCGTGCTTGTATCCGCCCTACAGAAAGCACAAGTATTTCCTGAGCACAGTTAGTAGGGACCGCTGAGTCCATGTGTGGTCTGAGGGCTATGGTTTATAAGCTTGGTGTCCTTGGGAAAACTGAGACAAAAGTATAATCCCTGGTTTGTGACCAGCATCATAAGGGACCCAGGGAGGTTCAGAGCAAGAATTTGAAGGCAGCCAGGAATTTAAAAAAAAAAAGTTCTGGGAGGAGGTGGAAACTTGTTTTTTTTTTCTCCTTTTCTCAATAAAAAAAGAAAAAAAAAAAGTTCCACCAGCTCCTCTGCCTCCTCTGCCTTCCACAGGCCTTAGACGACGCCAACAAGGGCATCATTGAAGAACTTAAGAAAACTAACTACAGGGAGATACTCAGGGAAAAGGCGGAGAAACGTGAGTCCCTCCCCTGCCCTTTTCTCACAGCAGTCCTGCCAACTTGCCCGTCATCTCCCCAGGCCAGGGTGGCACTGCCCTCCGAGTCTGCTCATCTACGTAGTTGCCAGCAGCGGCTGCATCCTTTCTTGGGCCAGGACAGGGCGAGAATGCAGTTCACCTCAGCCAGGGTCTGCCCCCAGCCCAGCTGCCCTGTGAATCTTTCCGCGGTCTCCGGGTTATTTATTCATTGTCTGGACAGTAGAGGGCAGTGTTGTCCAGCTTTTTACCTTGGGATGGCCGTGACCCTGTTAAGCCTCTGTTGGCGACTTCCGCAGGAACCACTTCCAGACAGAGCATGAAGGACACCCAGGAGGTGGTAGTGGCTTTTTTGTAATTATCAGAGACAAGTGGCAGGAACCTCGCTGGTCACAAGCAGCTATCCGGGTGCCCCTCTTGTTTACAGCCTGCTCACATGTTTATAAGAGAACTCGGTGCTGATTGCTTTCCACAGACAAATAAAATGGTGGCAGGATGGGGACACTGGCGAAAAGAACCTGTGTCATTTCCTAGCATCTATGACCTATGCCATTTTTGTTAAGGGAAGGAGGATGCCTTTTGCATCCTTACCAGGGAAGGCGTGGTTGTGGGCACAGTGTGGTAGGGAGTGGCTGCTCTTGTGGCATGGACCAGGAAAAAGTACCAGTGTCATTTCTCTGGTGCTTTTGGGCCAGACTGTCTTGGGTTCAAATTCTGATTTTGCTCTTGCTTGGAGGAAGACGATGGCATCATTATCCCTTGTGTCAGTCTTGGGTTCCTGTGCAATCCCATGACAATGGAGGGGTACAATGTGCGCAGCATCTCTCTAGATGTCAGGGCAGGACTGCCGTCAGGCCCTGAGCCATGACCAGTTCTACCCTTTTGGAAGCATGCGCTACCGCACTATAGGAAAGAGCTCTCGGCTTTGCTCCCAGAAGCACAGGCCTCCAGAGGCCGAGTCACAGGAGATCTTCATCCTGCCCCCACCCCGTTCTGTTTCTCAGAGGAGGTCAGTGCACTCATGGAGCTGCCCGGAGCATCGTCAGAGAAGGAATCCAGGCGAGCTCGAGACGAGCCAGAGAAGGTGATGAAACAGTGGGAAAGGGATCCCACGGAGAGCGAGAGAGACACCACGGACGATGAAGGGTCGAAGCAGGGGCTGCAGAGACCGGAGGAGCACGACAGCAAAGATCCCAGAGAACTCACCAGAAAACTGTTAGGGGACGATAGGTCACCAAAAGAGATAACCAGGAAAGAGTCAAGGGAAATCTACAGGAGGCTCTCAGAAGACTCGGACCACACAGTCTCAGACAATGTAAGCCTATTGGAGAAGAAAATGGATGCAGCCAGAGGGGAGGTTGAAAGGTTGGAGAAAACAGAGGAAGAAGACGAAAGGAAAAACTGAAATGCTTAACAGGAAAGGAATGAAGACTTGCTTAGCAGGCATTAGGTTCTGGAGGATAGTGTTCCCAGGTGAGATGCTTTTGATAGGAAAAACTGGAAGACTGACGCCTCCACCTCATCCCACGTGTCCCCCGTTTTCTCATTAAATATGTGTCTTAACTTCTACAAATCCGGTGTCATTGTGCCTCCTTCCTCCCCCTCATCCTCGGTAGGAAACTAGTGGAAGATTTGAGAGGGGTGGGTGGAGACACAGGTGAGCCCCTGAGAGCCCAGATCACTGCAAAGACAGAGAGGGAAGGAAAGCCCTGGGAGCACAGGGGTTTCTGCTTGCTTCTCGGCCTTTGGCTCACTTTCCCCAGGACCTACTATGTGGAGGGTCCACGGCTTGGGGGTGGTGTTGGGGTATACAGAAACCACAGCAGTGGGCCAGCTGAGCCCTAAGCCTTTCTCAGGTGGGCTTCTAAGCACACCTCCGTCAGAAGCAGAACTTGAGATGCCAAAAAGCAAGGTTAGGACTTCTAGGGACTTTCCCGGAAGTAGGGCCTTTGATGGATTAGGTCTTTGTTTTCCTTTGGGCAGGTGGTGCTGCTTGGCTGCCTGGGTTCATGACCTGAGTGGTACTTCAGTTGTGTTAAGGTCTAGGGGGCCTGATATAAAATCTGAAGAGATCTGACCTTCATACATGCATGACTATATCTCACCCATTTCCCACTAACCTGCCTGGGGATGCAGGAAAGGCAATCGCTTCCTGTTTGAAGAGTTAATCTTGGGCTGGAGAGATGGCTCAGAGGTTAAAAACATTGGCTGCTCTTCTAGAGATCCTGAGTTCAATTCCCAGCAACCACATAGTGGCTCATAACCATCTACAATGAGATCTGGTGCCTTCTTCGGGCATGCAGGCATAAACCCTGTAGACATAATACATAAATAAAATCTAAAAAAAAAAGTTAATCTTTTTCCTGGAGAAGTGGCCCACATCTTTAATCCCAGCACTCCCAGAGGCAGTGAGTGACAGGCAGATTTCTGTGAGTACAAGGCCAGCCTGGTCTAAAAAGTGAGTGCCAGGGCTACATAGTGAGCCCCTGTCACAGACGGAATAAAAAGTTAATCTTTAACGTTTAAGTAACAAAGGTGACCGACTCTTGTGGTATAGAGAGTCCAGGTGTGCCTTCGCGCTCAACCTAAACTCATACCGCTACTTCCCAGAACCCTGGTTTCGATTTCCCAGGAGCGCGTGCGCAGAGGCACGGGCTGACCCCGCCCCATCCGCGCGCCCCGCCCCCCGGGCTATGAAAGGCGCTCTGCGTGGGGTCCTGACACCCCAAGACGCCCGTGTCCCTCGCGCAGGCGGGCGTCCCCGGAGACGTAGTGCCCGCAAAGGCGGTGACGGCGGTGCGCCCACGCATCATGGTGAGCGCAGCGCAAGCGTGGGGGCCGGGGTCGGGGTGGGGACAGAAAGCGGGAGTCTTGGGGATGCATGGGCAGAAGTAACTTGCAAATGAGGGCCCCAGGTTCCAGAGTTGAAGTCCAACCTCTGGGCCTTTCAAAGCAGCTCAAAGACAGGGGGAGCGGGGACGCTTGGGGTCTCAAAGCCGCTGGAGAAGGAATTCCTGTAGCCCGGAAGATGAAGTCGATGCTCCCTGGCTAGTGGATCTGGGCCCGGGGGTAGCACCAGAGAGAGCTCAGGGGTGCTTCGGAGTCCGCGTTGGGAGTGGGTTCCCAACAGCCCCCCGCCCAAGGCCATAAAGAAGCCATAAACCAGCTAAATTCTCAGGGTGCACACCAAAGGTAAAAGCCAGTGTAGGTGACAGTTGAAACTGCCATTACTTGTTACTAAGTAGGGGACAGAAATCCCTAATACAGGTGCCCTATGCCCCCTAGTCCTACAGACCGGGGTGGGGGGTGGGGGGGCTGAGGGCAGAAGAGGAGGTGGCTGTGAATGAGTTCCTTTGTCCAGTGCTCTCCTGCCCTGCCCCCCACCAGCCCTCTGTGGGACCATTGTCCCCCCACACCCAGACAAGAGAGTATTATCTGTTGATACCATTGTTGGGTGGAGGGAGGCGGTCTTTGGGTCACCCTCCTCTGCCCTCACCCTCCTCTGCACACTCAGAGCTCCAGGGCAGCTGTGGCTTTGCCCATACATAGCCTCAGACCTACAAATAGGACATCCTTCAGAGGTGCCGAGAATATAGAAGTTAGGGCTGACGGTGAGCAACAGGCGTTTGCTTCCCTTGCATGCCCTGCCACCAAGGTGTTCTCTCTGAGGGGCAGCAGAAAGCGATCCTCGGAGCCTGGAGAATAAGAGGTTAGGCAGTTCGTGTCACTGAGGTTCCATCTTCCTACCTGCTGTTGAAGATACTGAAGGCCCTACTGGGAGAAAAAAGCCACCACTCCCTGCTGGGGAAAGCACCCACCACCCAAGGGTGCTTTAAGTTAGGACTGGGGATTCCTGAGCTGGCAGCTGGTCCCCGGTTGGGAGAACTAGGCCAAAGACTAGGATTTGGTGCTTGTGGGCTGACATCTCCTCTACCGTCTGCACACAGAACACAAGCTTTTCCCGAAAGAGCCACACGTTCCTGCCCAAGATCTTCTTCCGAAAAATGTCATCCTCAGGAGCCAAGGACAAGCCAGAGCTGCAGTTCCCCTTCCTCCAGGACGAGGACACGGTGGCCACACTTTATGAGTGCAAGACACTCTTCATCCTGCGCGGCCTGCCAGGCAGCGGCAAGTCTACGCTGGCTCGGCAGATCGTGGATAAGTACCACAATGGGACCAAGATGGTATCTGCTGATGCTTACAAGATCAACCCTGGTTCCCGAGCAGAATTCTCCGAGGAATACAAGCGGCTGGACGAGGACCTGGCTGCCTACTGCCGCCGGGACGTCAGGGTTCTTGTGCTTGATGATACCAACCACGAGCGGGAGCGGCTGGATCAGCTCTTTGAAATGGCCGATCAGTACCAGTACCAGGTGGTGTTGGTGGAACCCAAGACAGCATGGCGGCTGGACTGTGCCCAGCTCAAGGAGAAGAACCAGTGGCAGCTGTCTGCTGAAGAGCTGAAGAAACTGAAGCCTGGGTTGGAGAAGGACTTCCTGCCGCTCTACTTTGGCTGGTTCCTGACCAAAAAGAGTTCTGAGACCCTCCGTAAAGCTGGCCAGGTCTTTCTGGAGGAGCTGGGGAATCACAAGGCTTTCAAGAAGGAGCTTCGACACTGTAGGTGGTTGTGGGGAGGGAGTGAGGCAGCTAAAGCCTGTTTGCGTGTGGTAGAGAGCCCCAAGGATGGGGTTGGGGAGGGGTGGAGGCTACAGGCTGTGGCTTCCAGGAATAGCCAGAGCAAGGCGTCAGTGGTGGGAGCAGATGGCACAGTGGAGAAGACACGTCCACTGCGCCTTTCTTGCCACCTCCCTCTTCTCTCCAGCATCATTCTCCCAGCCTGGATGTAGGTTTTGGAGGTAGGAAAACTAAGTGACTCTCAGCATAGGAAAGAAATGTCACCATATGCTACAACCTCAGAGGGAGACCCTGGCGCAAGGCTGTCAAACTCATTTTTTAGCGGCAGAAAACATGTTTCCAAGCAAAATAGGAGATGTCTCAACTACAAAAAGTAGTCAAATAAAGCCTGTTGTGGTTTCCCTGGGGATGGTTTGCAGGCTTTCGGCTCCCCATGGCACTGCCACGGCATTCCCAGAGCTTCACGCCTTCCAGAATATTCTCTCCACATAAGAGCCATGCCCAGAAGGGATATGAGAGTTGTCACGAGTACCTGGGTAGTATCCAGCAGGGTTCTCTCCTGGCAAGGGCTGTTGGCTCCAGAGGATGGGAGCTTAGGGCTAGGGAAGGCTCAAGAGTCCTAATTTCCCACAGGCTGTCACTCCCTAGTTCTTCTATGCCTTTAATCTATGTTTTTTTGAGACAGTCTCACTATGTAGCTTTGCATGGCTGGTCTCTGGTTTGCAGTAATCCTCCTGCCCCCGCCTTCCCTTCCCTTTACCATGCCTGGTCGGTCTCCTTTAACTCGTTTTTAGTCTCTCAATTTTAACTTGTCTGCAAACTTGAAATAACCCCGTTTTGTCGTTAGATTGCTTAGAGGCAAACAGTTGCAAACAGGTCTGTTGTGCCCGTGTGAGTTCTCAGAAAACTTGTTTCTGAGCTCCTAAGCCTCATTCTATGAGATGCTGCTTGGGAGCCAGCCCACATCCTGTGTAGAGTGAGGGGCAACCCCAAGAGCCAGGGCTTCTGGCCAGAGCTGGTGGGGCTCAGTTGGGCATGATTACTGCTTGATGTTGGCTTTGACCACAAACACCAGAATTCTTTTCTGCTCAGGGTAGAAGGCATCAGAGACAGTAACAGGGCATGCTCAGAATAGAAGCTCCCTGGAAGGGCTAAGCCTTTGGGAACAAATAGGGACAAGCTAGGGACTCTAGAAAGCTTGGAGTCTAGATCAGCTTTGACGTTCTAGTCCCCAACCATCTTGTCCCACTGTACCCAGAACCCTTTCGGGACCAGGCCCTTGGTATGCTCTCCTCCCCTAAGCATGGCCACAGGGCACTGGAGAGTAATTGGTGACCCCTGGGTGAAATGGTTGGTGTCATCTCAGGCCCAGAGGAGTTTGGGGGTATGGCAACCCGAACTGTTGCCTTTGACAGACAAGAGTTAACCATGTGTCTGTCCCACATGGCTAGAAAGTAGCAAGATTTGTTTCATTTTCCCACCTTCCACCTTCTCACCCTGCTTTCCCTTCCCAGGTATGGTGCTGGCCTTTGGGTAGCATTGCCTGGCCCCATTACATATGTCCTAGACCTCAGAGATGTAGAGATCTGGACGCTGCAAAACCAGCATGGCTGGAGTTTAAACTGTTCCCTGCCCAGCACTGAACCCAGGACCCTATACATGCTAGGCAAGCACCCCAACCCACCCCTTCCCCAGAACTCCTGCATCTGCTTTCCCAATGCTAGGGACTCGTGTGCTAGGGCCTGTGCATGCTAGACCTCGCACTCTGCCAACTGAGCTGCAGCTCCAGCTAGCAAATGCATGCGTGAAGCTCAGCAGACTGCCTGAGAACATCTTAGCGTGGGCCGTTCCCCCACCCCCACCCCGGGCCTGCAGTTTCTGTGGTAGGTGTTGGTAGGCCCAGCTCGCTGCCAATGACTGGATCTTCTCTTCTGCAGTTATTTCTGGGGATGAACCCAAGGAGAAGCTTGATCTGGTCAGCTACTTTGGAAAGAGACCCCCAGGCGTGCTGCACTGTACAACCAAATTCTGTGACTACGGGAAGGCCACCGGGGCAGAAGAATATGCCCAGCAGGATGTGAGTTCTCCCCAGAGAATCTGGTGGGGGAGGGGAGGGTGAGTGGGCTAAAGTCTCTTCTGGAGCTGCGGCCTCGGGCAGACATCACACAGTGGTGAAGTGTGGTCTCCTGTCTGGCTGAGTCTATGTTCTGCTACCCTCTTAGGAATTTTGTAGTCCATCTGTCCCCAGAACCTGCTCTAAGGGCCTTTTCCCTCAAGTAGGTTCATGGAGAATGCCAGGCCGCAACAGGTCCCTACTCTGGCCTCTTGAACCCATGTTAAGTCCCAGAGAACCCAAATGCTGAGTCCTGTGTGCCAGAAAGCCTGCTGCCCTGGGGCTCTGGTCTACCTTGGAGGCCTGGCCTTGCTCCAGAGGGAAGGAGTAGCTCAGGATAGAGACACTGTTCCTGAACTGATATATAGCCCACGGCCAGACGCAGCCATCCTTAACTCCAGGCACGTTGCCTAACTTCCTTTACCACTGCCTTCCCAGCAACCGCTCCTAGGGAGCCAGGTGTTAGTAACGTCATTCACCTGTGCTCTCAAAGCCTTGTCCAGTGAGATGGCTGGAGAGCCCCTTGCTCCGTTCTGTTGTCCAGTTAGCAAGACTAACCAAGCCCCTGTCACACACCATCAGGTATGGCCAGAGGTCTAAGCAGATGTCAACCACTGTACTGAGTGGATTGAGTTGTGAAGAACGGTAGTGGCTGATCTAGGCTGTTTCCTCAGAGACAGGCTTGAGTTTACTCCTCTCTCACAAGTGAACCATGGCAGAGAGGCTAGGAACAGTCAGAACCTTGGGCCTATGAGATAGGGATTTGTGTCTGGTGTCTGAGTCTTTTCCCAGCCTTGAGTGGCTGGTGTTGCATGGCTATTTGATCTGCCTTTTTAAAAAATGACCCCTGCACAGCTGCACTCCTCTGGAGGTGGCCGACCCTTGCCAGCTGTCCCTCTAACTTGCCGCCTCCCTTCCCCAGGTGGTGAAGAGATCTTACAGCAAGGCCTTCAAACTGTCCGTCTCAGCGCTCTTTGTGACACCCAAGACGGTTGGGGCCCAGGTGGTGTTGAATGAGCAGCAGCTGCTGTTGTGGCCAAGTGACGTGGATAAGCCATCTTCCTCAGAGAGCCTGCCTGCAGGGAGCCGAGCTCACATCACTCTCGGCTGTGCAGCAGATGTACAGCCCGTGCAGACAGGCCTTGACCTCTTAGAGATTTTGCAGCAGGAGAAGGGGGGCAGCCGAGGTGAGGAGGTGGGTGAGCTCCCCAGGGGCAAGCTCTATTCCTTGGGCAAAGGCCGCTGGATGCTGACCTTGGCTAAGAAGATGGAGGTCAAGACCATCTTCACAGGGTACTATGGGAAGGGCAAACCTGTGCCCACACATGGCAGCCGGAAGGGGGGTGCCATGCAGATTTGCACCATCATCTGAGAGATCACACCCTTTTGATCTTTAGAAGGGAGAGGGGTGGACAGGGCAACATGCCTTCCACTTGACTTTTATTTTTTACTCGAAGCTAACCTACCTGTAACATTTTAAGAATCTGCAATGTAACTGCCAGTCTCTTCCTGTCCACCCACTTCCCCTTAACACTCAAGCTCTCTACACAGGCGTGTGGGTAGAGGAAGACACCATTCAGAAACCTGGGCCAGTGGTGATAATAAAAGGCTGGGCTATTGGGTCTGGAACCACGTCTGCCCCACATCCAGGAGCTGGTTAACTCTCCCTTGGCCCCTGCCTGATGCCTATCCAGAGCTGGGCACACCTCAGAGCTGCACACATCATGCTAAGGACAGTGCTACTTCCACAGGAAAACGGTGGTAGCTTGGAGAGGGATCAGACCCCTGGGTGCGACTCTTTGTTAAATCACCAGAGTGCCTAGGAAGGCTTGGGCTACCCTCTGGCATGTAAAGGGGTTCACCTCCCACCTCTGGCCACTGCCAAGTCCCTGTCACCTCCTTCACACTGACTAGGTGAAGAGTGTGATCACTAGTGGGAGGAAGTGGACCTCTGGCTTCCCACTGGTCACCCACCCCGCACAGTAGCACGTCCCTGTGTGTGGACGGAGGCTGAGCAGAGAGACACGGCCCAAGAAGCTCCAGCTTTGCCTTCTGCCTAGCCCATCTTGCCTCCGTGGTCGTGGTGCCTCTGGGCCTCCTCTATAGGAGGGTGGTGGGTACCAGGAACCAATGAGGGGACCCTGAGCTGGCTAGAGTATGCCCCATCTCCTGCCCTGGGGAAGCTGAACAAGATCATGTGTTATGGTTCCTCACGCTGCCTTTGCTCAGTAACAGGACCTTGCTAATTGGGTTATCAGCCAGGTATTTGGGGTTTATTTTCCTACCCTGGTTTTGCCCACCTCAGCAACCTCTAAGACTGATTCTGAAATAAATCATGTTAAACCCAGCTGTGTGCAGTCACTCTTAGCCTTCTATGTCCATCTTAGGCTTCCCTGGGGCCAGGGCAGGGGACATTAAGACTAGCTTTGTCCCACAGCTTGGGGCCATCGGTCCTGTCTCCCTTCTGCTGGCCGGGCACAGCTGTGATGAGACCGGGCAGCCGAACAGTGTTGGCTTTCATGAAGCAGAGAGGAGAGGCTGGCTTCAGACTCACACAGAAGGTGGGGCTGGCTGGGAGCCAGGAACTTGGAGCACAAAGCCTTTATCTGACAGCTAAGGCGACCATGCAGGTGTTCTCGGCCTAATCAAAGACCTCTCAGCAAGACTCAGAATTTCCAGTGTGGGCTTTGCAGGGTCTCTAGGGAAGTTAGCATTCTTCAAACAGCAAGACATACAACAGCCCCTTCAAGCTCACAGGGCCCCTGGCCTAACGGATCTGGCACTCTGGTTCAAGGCCTCTCTCTCTCCCTGGCTATCTAGCTTCACAGCCTCAAGTGTCCGCCCTGAGTAGTGACCTGACTGAGTGGGGTGACAAGGCCACAGGTAAGCAGGAAATGAGACTAGTTGCGCATTCGCAGAGTGCAGTTTCCAACAGCACAAGCCTTTAGAGCCAGCAAACAGGCGTGCTCTGGAGCTGCCCGGCAGGCTTTAAAAAAGCCTAGAGGTCAGGAGCAGAATTTGCTTTCATGTCCATGTCCCTCAAGCCTACGGTGACAGTAAGCACTATGGGAGCATTACAGTGTGGTGGCTCAAACTGTAATCTCAGCCCTGGAAAGGGCTGAGGCAGGAGGACTGCCCTGAGTTCCAGGACAGCCTGAGCCTATGTGGTGACACCATCTAAAAAACAACAGAAGCAAAGCACTTGCATGTGTGCGCGCACACACACACACACACACACACACTGCACATGGACATCAGGCTCCTGGATGAACTTCAGGAATAGAGCAGCTACCAAAGCTAACGACCAAAAAAATGGTCAAAACATTTTATTTTCTTTTTTAATAAAGTTAAACAATACAACAAAAATTCACAAGCTGCTTCCCTGTCTACCCCTGGCTTCCCTCCCCTCCCCAGTCCTCAGTGCTGGCTCCCTTTCCTTCACCCCACTCATACAGACACAGGGCACCCAACTGAGAAAACGAAACTGCTCTAAGTACATGGGGACATGATGGAGGAGGTGAACCGTCCACATTCATGGATAAACTGAGCGAGTCTGCATTTTCTGGGTTCTGAGTAGTTGCCCTTCATTAGCCAAACTGAAAGAAGAAATTCCCCGGGCCAGACGCTGGAAGGGAAAAGAAAGGCTTGTTATTTGCTTTGTAGATTTTCTTAGGGAAACTATGGTTATTACAGAAGTCTTCAAGGGCAGCTTAATCCAAACACAGACTCCAAGGGCATCAAATAGGGTGAGGTGTGAGTGCAAGGGCCAGTGTGCAAGGCGACCCTACACTGACTGGGGTCATTTGAACACCTTTGCTCTTGTGGAGACGGCTCCATACTAAGAGGCTTAGTGGTGCTTCTCTGACCCTGCCAGGTGTGCTGGATAAGCCTAGGAGCCTCCTCTACCACCCTAGAGTGCATACATGTCTTACTAAACAAGGATCCGGTTGTCTCCACTCAGACTTCCCAGGAGCTGCCTGAGTGAGGGGTCAGAGCTGCTCATCACCTGGGAGCTCTCAAGGGCAGTAGGCATACCAACCTTCAAAGCTGAAGCCCCCAGGACCACCGAAGAATGCCTTGAAAATGTTGTTTGCATCAAAATCTGGTGAGAAGCATGGAAGGGACAAAAAAGGGGAAAATCAGAAGGGTCTGAGGAACTACACGCAGTAGAATTCTGAGTATCACTTCCCTTTTCCACCATTCCAGCCGAGATGTTAGCAAACCTCCCCCGCCCCACCCGGGGCAGAACCTGCTGCTGATCCTAGTCCTGGCATGTGTCCCTCCAAATGCAGTCCAGAAGGAAAGCGTCCTTTGCCTCAGCCTGGTCTGCCTACTGTCTCCTTACTTAGAAAAGGCATTTGCAGTACGCTGCCTTCCATAACGCTGGGGCTTTTCCCGAGAAGGCTCACTTTTGCCAACTGAGTGACACCGAAATTATTGCAGGAGACCTAAAGATCCTGACTCCTGGAACTATCATGTGCTCTTTTCTTCCAGGCCACAGCAGTTCTGATGGCTCCTGCCCTAGCTCATCTTTTTTTGACAGCCTGTTGTCTTACATCACCGGCTGACCACTTACTTACAGAGTTCCCCTCTGGAGTGTTCCAGCCCAGCTGCCGAGAGGGCAGGAGCCTTGGTAACAACAGGGTCTCTTCTGGTGCTTTAGAAAAATGTTACAGGGACCTTTCTTCATTCCAGGTGTCCAAACCAACTCACCGCCCATATTCATGCCCTCCTCATCCAGGTCCTGTCCACTGTCGTAACGAGTCTTTTTCTTGGGGTCAGAGAGGATGGTAAAGGCCTCTCCCACTTCTTTGAATTTCTTTTCCTCCTCCTTCTGAACCTCAGCACTGGCCCCACTGTGCCGATCTAGAGGATTCCGTGAAATCAGGGTCACAGGAAAACAAAGTCTGTTTATGTCCAAGTTTGAAATGTGGCACCACCCACAATCTGTAGTTTAGGGTTCCTCTGCTGCAGCCTTCTGCAGAGCTCACCTGGATGGTGCATCAAGGCCCGTTTCCGGTAAGCTTTCTTGATCTCGTCCTCAGAGGCATTCTTGTCGACCCCCAGGATCTTGTAGTAATCTTTCCTCTTGCTCTTCTTCAGCTCCAGCTGTGCATTCTTTAGGAGCTGTTTGTGTTCTGAGGGAGACAGGAGGCATAAACACACAGATCCAGCTGCTTCCCTTGCGGGGTCCCAACCCAGCTGCCCAGAGGCTAGAAGCCTTGGTAACCACAACAGGAACTTTTTTGGTACTTTCTTCTCAAGACAGGAAGTGAAAATGACAGGGAGGAGCTAGAGCCAGAATACAGGTGCCTAAGCCCCCACTCAGGAACTCTGCCGACTGCTTCCAGGCTAGTGATCAAATCAGCTCCAGATCCAACCCCATGTGCTACATCAAATATTCCCACATTTAAATTTAGGACCTAGAAGACCATGGATCCCTGGGTCCGATGGCCCTTTGTTCTCATACCTTTTGTTTTCTCCGTCTGATACACTTTTTCATAGTCCCGCACAGCTTCTTCAAACTGCTCTGTGTCCATGTAACTGAGAAGGAAGTACAGGGTAATACAGCACTCAGACACAAAAATCAATGGCCTGTGGGACCTTCTAGGGAGAAGGAATGGCTTATGCAAGAGATACATTCTTTCGGTAGGTAGGATGTCTCAAACAGTAGAGTCCCTTATCTATAAAAAAACATGAATCAACTTTCAGTTCCTCAAGGTGAAGAAGCCTCACGGCATTTGTACCCGGCCAGCAATCCTCTGCTAGAAGTGGGCAGTGGCTAGGGGAGAGAGCTCTTGGTGACGCAGGCGTGCCCCATAGCTGGGCCACCTCAGGAAAGAGCATGGAAAGGCACCCGCGTGACTACCCTGGACTGAAACACATGAGGAAAACTGCTGTCAAAGAGCTTTGAGGTCTTCAGTGCCACAAACATGCAGGGCCAGCTCCAACCCAGGGTACAGGTGGGGTTAGTTGGGCCACTAGGAGGATCGAGGGTGGAAGCTGCTAGTGAATGCTTCCACTAAGAGCAATCAATCTCAGAGGTAGAGGTGAGACAGGAGAGCCTCTCAACACAGTCTTGCTTCAATTTCAGTAGCACAAAAGCAAAGAAGGATCCCTGGGCCAAAATGGGAGGACTGAAGGGAAAAGCAGAGTATCAGGACTTTGAAAGTGTTGTTTCCCACAGAACTAAGTGGTATTCTTTTCTTAAAAAAAATAATAATTTTTATTTATTTATTTTTTTGCATTGGTGTTCTGCCTACATGTGTCTGTGTGAGGGAGTCAGATCATGGAGTTACAGACAGCTGTGAGGTGCCGTGTGGGAACTGAACCCCGTTCCTCTGGAAGAGGAGTCAATGCTCTTAACCACGAAGCCATCTCCAGTCCCCTAAATTCTTTTTTTTTTTTAAGATTTATTTATTTATTATATATACAACATTCTGCCTCCATGTATGCCCACATGCCAGAGGAGGGCGCCAGATCTCATTACAGATGGCTGTGAGCCACCATGTGATTGCTGGGAATTGAACTCAGGACCTGTGGAAGAGCAGCCAGTGCTCTTAACCGCTGAGCCATCTCTCCAGCCCCCCCCCCCAAATTCTTATAACCTGATGTCACCAAGTTTGTCCTCTCTGTCTAAGAGACATAACATCCGTGAAGAACAGGACACTCTCACGCAGTGTGGCCAGCCGCTACACACCCGAGAATCAGCTGATACTCCATCATGCCAGGCCATCTTTATACACCAGCTCTGAAGGCCAGGGCAGTGAGAGTGATACCAATGTGGCTGGTCAAAAAGAGTTTGAGCTGGGCGGTGGTGGCGCACGCCTTTAATCCCAGCACTCGGGAGGCAGAGGCAGGCGGATCTCTGTGAGTTCGAGACCAGCCTCGTCTACAAGAACTAGTTCCAGGACAGGTTCCAAAACCACAGAGAAACCCTGTCTCGAAAAACCAAAAAAAAAAAAAAAAAAAAAAAGAGTTTGATATCTAAGGCATCTCTGAATTTCTGGAAACACACTCATCTGTGACTTAAAAACACAAAACACAATGCCCTACAGACACAGGGTACTAGGAACATAGAGAAACAATTAACAGGGCAAAGTGTCAAATAATCTGAAGTAAAATAATTTAATTCATTGCTGGGTGATGGTAGCACATGGCTTTAATCCCAGCACTCAGGAGGCAGAGGCAGATGGATCTCTGAGATCCAGGCCAGCCAGGGCTACAAAGACAAACCCTGAAAGTCTCAAAAAACAAAAAACCACCACCAAATCTGAGGCGTGAGTACCCCGACATGAACACAGGCCTGTGCATGATGCAGTGAACAAGCACCACGACACTGA